ATATATATGAGGCAATTATTACCAGCTTCTGTCGCACGGGATAAAGAGCAGCCACTATACCCATCGGTATGGGCGTACTGACACAGCTTCGTCGCAAAGTGTGTTATGGCTGTCGGTAACGGGATAAAGAGCAGCCACTCATACCCATCGGTATGAGGAACCGACACAGCTTCTGTCGCAAAGTGTGTTATGGCTGTCGGTAAAGGGATAAAGAGAGCCACTATACCCATCGGTATGAGTAAACTGGACACAGCTTTGTCGCAAAGTGTTTTATGGCTGTCGGTAACGGATAAAGAGTAGCCACTATACCCATCGGTATGAGGAACCGACACAGCTTCTGTCGCAAAGTGTGTTATGGCTGTCGGTAACGGATAAAGAGTAGCCACTATACCCATCGGTGGTATGAGGTACTGACACAGCTTCTGTCGCAAAGTGTGTTATGGCCGTCTGTAACGGATAAAGAGTGGTCATCGGTATGAGGTACCGACAGCTTCGTCGCAAAGTGTGTTATGGCTGTCCAACGGGTAAAGAGGCCACCATACCCATCGGTATGCGAGGTACCGACAGCTTCTGTCGCAAAGTGTGTTATGGCTGTCTGTAACAGGATAAAAGAGTAGCCACTATACCCATCGGTATGAAATTACTGACACAGCTTCTGTCATAAAGGTGTGTTATGGCTGTCAGTAACAGGATAAAAATAGCCACTATACCCATCGGTATGAACTGACACAGCTTCTGTCGCAAAAGTGTGTTATGGCTGTCGGTAACGGGATAAAGTAGCCACTATACCCATCCACTATACCCATCAGTATGTCGGTAACAGGATGTAGCCACTACCCATCAGTATGAGGAACTGGCGCTTCTGTCCCAAAGTGTGTTATGGCTGTCTGTAACAGGATAAAGAGTAGCCACTATACCCATCGGTATGAGGTACTGGCCCCAGCTTCTGTCGCAAAGTGTGTTATGGCTGTCTGTAACAGGATAAAGTAGCCACTATACCCATCGGTATGATGAGAACTGACACAGCTTCTGTCATAAAGTCTGTAACAGGATTATGGCTATCTGTAATGGCTGGATAACGGGATAGTAGTAGCCACTATACCACATCGGTATGAAGGTACTGACACAGCTTCTGTCGCAAAGTGTGTTATGGCTGTCGGTAACAGGATAAAGAGTAGCCACTATACCCATCGGTATGAGGAACTGACACAGCTTCTGTCGCAAAAGTGTGTTATGGCTGTCGGTAACAGGATAAAGTAGCCACTATACCCATCAGTATGAGGTACTGACAGCTTCTGTCGCAAAGTGTGTTATGGCTGTCAGTAACGGGATAAAGTAGCCACTATACCCATCAGGTATGCCGAGGTACTGACACAACTTCTGTCCCCAAAGTGTATTTATGGCTGTCGGTAACAGGGATAAAAAGTAGCCACTATACCCATCGGTATGAGGAACTGACACTTCTGTCACAAAGTGTTTTTATAGCTGCAATGGGATAAAGAAAGTAGCCACTCATACCCATCGGTATGAGGTACTGACACAACTTCTGTCGCAAAGTGTGTTATGGCTGTTTGTAACGGGATAAAGAGTAGCCACCACCCATCGGTATGGAGGTACCGGACACAGCTTCGTCGCAGTAAAGTGTGTTATGGCTGTCGGTAACGGGATAAAGAGTAGCCACCATACGCCCATCGGTGGCGAGGTACTGACACAGCTTCGTCGCAAAGTGTGTCGGTAACGGGATAAAGGCCATCGTCTCGTAACAGCAGGGGATAAAGAGTAGCCACTATACCCATCGGTATGAGGTACCGACACAGCTTCTGTCGCAAAGTGTGTTATGGCTGTCGGTAACGGATAAAGAGTAGCCACCATACCCATCGGCATGAGGAACTGACACAGCTTCTGTCGCATTATGTGTTATGGCTGTCGGTAACGGACAAAGAGTAGCCACCATACCCATCGGTATGAGGAACTGACACAGCTTCTGTCGCAGTGTGTTATGGCGTCGGCAAAGAGTGTTATGCCCAGTCGGTAGGCGAGGTACTGACACAGGTCGAAAGCAAAAGTAACGGATGGGCAGCCACCATACCCATCGGTATGAGGTACCGACACAGCTTCAGTCGCAAAGTGTGTTATGGCTGTTTATAACGGATAAAGAGCAGCCACGCCACCCATCGGTATGAGGAACCGACACAGCTTCTGTCGCAAAGTGTGTTATGGCTGTCGGTAACGGGATAAAGAGTAGCCACTGTTACCCATCGGTGAGTGGGGAACTGACACAGCTTCTGTCGTGTGCGTGTTGCGGCCGTCTGTAACGGGATAAAGAGTAGCCACGATACCCATCGGTATGAGGTACCGCTGACACAGCTTCTGTCGCAGCATAAGTTATGGCCGTCGGTAACGGATAAAGAGTAGCCACTATACCCATCGGTATGAGGTACTGACACAGCTTGTCGCAAAGTGTGTTATGGCCTGTCGGTAACGGATAAAGAGGTTACCATATACCCATCGGTAGCGAGGAACGACACAGCTTCTTGTCGCAAGTTGTGTTAGGCTGTCTGTAACGATAAAGAGCAGCCAATTATACCCATCGGTATGAGGAACTGACACAGCTTCTGTCGCAAAGTGTGTTATGGCTGTCGGTAACGGATAAGAGGAAAATGCTACCATACCCCATCGGTATGAGGTACTGACACAGCTTCTGTCGCAAAGTGTGTTATGGCCGTCTGTAACAGGATAAAGAGTAGCCACTATACCCATCGGTATGAGGCACTGACACACCTTTCTGTCGCAAAGTGTGTTATGGTCGGTAACGGGATAGAGTAGCCACTATACCCATCGGTATGAGGTACTGACACAGCTTCTGTCATAAAGTGTGTTATGGCCGTCTGTAACAGGATAAAAGACTAGCCAATATACCCATACGTATGAGGAACTGACACAGCTTCCGTCATAAAGTGTGTTATGGCTGTCGGTAACGGATAAAGAGTAGCCACCATACCCATCGGTATGAGGAACCGACACAACTTCTGTCGCAAAGTGTGTGTTATGGCTGTCGGTAACGGGATAAAGAGTAGCCACTATACCCCATCGGTATGAGGTACCGACACAGCTTCTGTCGCAGTGTGTTATGGCCGTCGGTAACGGGATAAGAGTAGCCACTATACCCATCGGTATGAGGTACTGACAGCTTCTGTCGCAAAAGTGTGTTATGGCTGTCGGTAACGGGATAAAGATGCTTTTTCTCTTATCAGTAAATAACATACCAGAGCTTCTGTTGCAAAGTGTGTTAGGAATTGACAGGATAAAGTAGCCACTATACCATGTCGCAAGCTTCTGTCGCAAGTGTGTTATGGCTGTCGGTAACGGATAAGAGTAGCCACTATACCCATCGGTATGAGGAACTGGACAACTTCTGTCGTAAAGTGTGTTATAGCCGTCTGTAACAGGATAAATGGATAAAGAGTAGACACAACTATAATGGCTATCAGTAACAGGATAAGGTAGCCACTATACCCATCGGTAGGAACTGACACAGCTTCTGTCGCAAAGTGTGTTATGGCCGTCGGTAACGGGATAAAGAGTAGCCACTATACCCATCGGTATGAGGTACTGACACAGCTTCGTCGCAAAGTGTGTTGTTATGGCTGTCGGTAACGGGATAAAGATAGCCACCATACCCATCGGTATGAGGAACTGACACAGCTTCTGTCCCAAAGGGTGTTATGGCTGTCGGTAACGGGATAAAGAGTAGCCACCATACCCATCGGTGGCGAGGTACTGACACAGCTTCTGTCGCAAAGTGTGTTATGGCTGTCGGTAACGGTATAAAGAGCAGCCACTATACCCATCGCAGGCGAGGAACTGACACAGCTTCGTCGCAAAGTGGGTATGGCTGCCGGTAACGGATAAAGAGGCAGCCACTATACCCATCGGTGCGAGGAATTGACACAGCTTCGTCGCAGTGTGTTATGCCCGTTGGTAACGGGATAAAGAGCAGCCATCATACCCAATGGCATGAGGTATTGACACAGCTTCGTCGCAAAAGTGTGTTATGGCTGTCTGTAACGGGATAAAAGAGTAGCCACTATACCCATCGGTATGAGGTACTGACACAGCTTTTGTCGGACTAAAGTAGCCACTATTATCGGTAAGGAGGAACTGTCAGTAAAACAGGATAAAAAGTAGCCACTATACCCATCGGCGAGGTACCGACACAGCTTCTGTCGCAAAAAGTGTGTGGCTGTCTGTAACGGGATAAAGTAAGCCACTATACCCATCGGTATAGGAACCGATACAGCTTCTGTCGCAAAGTGTGCGGCCGTCTGTAACGGGATAAAAGAGTAGCCACTATACCCATCGGTATGAGGTACTGGACAGCTTCTGTCGCAAAGTGTGTTATGGCCGTCTGTAACAGGAAAGAGTAGCCACTATACCCATCAGTATGAGGAACTGACACAGCTTCTGTCGCAAAAGTGAGTTATGGCTGTCGGTAACGGGATAAAAAAGCAGCCACTATACCCATCAGAAAGGAGGTACCGACAGCTTCTGTCGCAAAGTGTGTTATGGCTGTCTTTCGTAACGGGATAAAAGTAGCCACTATACCCATCGGTATGAGGAACTGACACAGCTTCTGTCGCAAAGTGTGTTATGGCTGTCGGTAACGGATAAAAAGTAGCCACTATACCCATCCGTATGAGGTACTGGACAGCTTCTGTCGCAAGTGAGTTATGGCCGTCTGTAACGGATAAAGGTATACCATACCCCATCGGTATGAGGCACTGACACAGCTTCTGTCGCAAAGTGTGTTATGGCCGTCTGTAACGGATAAAGTAGCCACTATACCCATCGGTATGAGGTACCGACACAACTTCTGTCGCAAAAGTGTGTTATGGCTGTCGTAACGGGATAAAGAGTAGCCACTATACCCATCAGTATGAACTGACACAGCTTCTGTCGCAAAGTGTTTTATGGCTGTCGGTAACGGATAAAAGTAGCCACTATACCCATCGGTATGAGGTACCGACACAGCTTCTGTCGCAAAAATTATGGCCGTCGGTAACGGACAAAGAGAAGCCACTATACCCATCGGCCGGAGGAACGGACACAGCCTGTCGCAAAGTGTTATGGCTGTCTGTAACGGACAAAGAGTAGCCACTATACCCATCGGTGGCGGAGGTACTGGACACAGCTTCTGTCGCAAAGCGTGTTGCGGCTGTCTGTAACGGACAAAGAGAAGCCACTATACCCATCGGTATGAGGTATTGACACAGCTTCTGTCGCAAAAGTGTTGCGGCTGTCTGTAACGGGATAAAGGGTAGCCACTATAACCATCCATGAGGTACTGACACAGGAGTCGCAATGTGTGTTACAGCGGTAACGGGTAAAGTTACAACGTCAGTATGAGAACCGGACACAGCCTGTCGCCGTCGGTAACGGGATAAAGAGTAGCCACTATACCCATCGGTATGAGGAACTGACACAGCTTCGTCGCAAAGTGTGTTATGGCTGTCGGTAACGGATAAAGAGTAGCCACTATACCCATCGGTATAGTTTCGTGAGGTATGGCTGTCGGTAACGGACAAAGGATACTACCATACCCATCGGTCATAAAGTGTGTTATGGCTGTCGGTAACGGGATAAAAGTAGCCACTATACCCATCGGTATGAGGTACTGACACAGCTTCTGTCGCAAAGTGTGTTATGGCTGTCGGTAACGGGATAAAGTAGCCACTATACCCATCAGTAGCGAGGAACTGACACAGCTTCTGTCGCAAAGTGTGTTTGGCTGTCAGTAACGGGATAAAAGAGTGAACTGACACAGCTTCTGTCGCAAAGTGTGTTATACCGTTTGGTAACGGTATGAGTAGGAACGGTATGAGGTACCGACAGCTTCTGTTGCAAAGTGTGTTATGGCTGTCGGTAACGGATAAAGAGGCAGCCACTATACCCATCGGTATGAGGTACTGACACAGCCTGTCGTAAAAGTGTGTTATGGCTGTCGGTAACGGGATAAAGACTAGCCACTATACCCATACGTATGAGGAACTGACAACGCTTTTCAGTATAAAGAGAAGTCACAGTATAAAGTCGCAAAAGTGTATATGGCTTGTCGGCCAACGGATAAATAACCACTATACCCATCGGTTATAATTACTGGTACCACCTTCTGTCACAAAATATTATAGCCGTCTGTAACAGGATAAGTAGCCAATATACCCATCGGTATAGAACCGACACAGCTTCTGTTATCGCAAACGGTGTGCCACTTATGGCTGACACAGTCAGTAACGGGATAAAAGTAGCCACTATACCCATCAGTATGAGGAACTGACACAGCTTCTGTCCCAAAGTGTGTTATGGCTGTCGGTAACGGGATAAAGAGTAGCCACTATACCCATCGGTATGAGACTGGCCACAGCTTCTGTCGCAAAGTGTGTTATGGCTGTCAGTAACAGGATAAAGAGTAGCCACTATACCCATCGGTATGGGGTACTGACACAGCTTCTGTCGCAAAGTGTGTTATGGCTGTCGGTAACAGGATAAAGAGTAGCCACTATACCCCATCCAGTGTGAGGAATTACACAGCTTCTGTCGCAAAAGTGTGTTATGGCTGTCGGTAACGGGATAAAAAGAGTAGCCCACTATACCCATCAGTGTGAGGTACTGACAGCTTCTGTCGCAAAGTAATGTTATGGCTGTCGGTAACAGGATAAGAGTAGCCACTATACCCATCAGTGAAATTGCGACACAACTTCTGTCGCAAAGTGTTGGCCGTCGGTAACGGGATAAAGAGTATACTATACCCATCGGTATGAGGTACTGACACAGCTTCTGTCGCAAATTAATGTTATGGCTGTCGGTAACAGGATAAAGAGTAGCCACTATACCCATCGGTATGAGGTACTGACACAGCTTCTGTCGCAAAGTGTGTTATGGCTGTCTGTAACAGGATAAAGGTAGCCATATACCCATCGGTATGAGGTACTGACGCAGCTTCTGTCTCAAAGTGTGTTATGGCTGTCGGTAACGGGATAAAGTAGCCACTATACCCATCGGTGTGAAATTACTGACACAGCTTCTTCGCAAGTGTGTTATGGCTCTCAGTAAAGGATAAAAGGTAGCCACTATACCCATCAGTGCGCTAATTTGGCTTCTCTGTTAACGGGGTAAAGGATAAGTAACCACTATACCCATCAGTATGAGAACTGACAGCTTCTGTCCCCAAAGTGTTTTATGGCTGTCGGTAACAGTATGGGGATAAAGTGTATGGCTGCCACTATACCCATCCATCGGTATAGTATGACACAACTTCTGTCATAAAAGTGTGTTATGGCCGTCTGTAACGGATAAAAAAGGTAACCACTATACCCATCGGTATGAGGTACTGACACAACTTCTGTCATAAAGTGTGTTATAGCCGTGTAACAGGATAAAGTAGCCACTATACCCATCGGTATGGTGCTGACACAGCTTCTGTTACAATGTGTGTATGGCTGTCGGTAACAGGATGAGTAGTATACTATACCCATCGGTATGAAGACGGCAGCTTCTGTCGCCGTGTGTTATGGCTGTCGGTAACGGGATAAAAAAGAGTAGCCACTATACCCATCGGTATGAGGTACTGACACACAGCTTCTGTGTCGTAAATGTGTTATGGCTGTCGGTAACGGGATAAAAGGTAGCCACTATACCCATCGGTATGAGGTACTGACACAGTTTTCTGTCGCAAAGTGTTATGGCTGTCTGTAACAGGATAAAGTAGCCACTATACCCATCAGTATGAGAGCAGCTTCTGTCCCACAGCTTCTGTCGCAAAGTTTTATGGCTGTCGGTAACGGGATAAAGAGTAACCACTATACCCATCGGTATGAAGGTACTGACACAGCTTCTGTCGCAAAGTGTGTTATGGCCGTCTGTAACAGGATAAAAGAGTAGCCACTATACCCCATCAGTATGAGGTACTGACAGCTTCTGTCATAAAGTGTGTTATGGCTGTCAGTAACAGGATAAAGTAGCCACTATACCCATCAGTATGAGGAACTGACACAACTTCTGTCGCAAAGTGTGTTATGGCTGTCTGTAACAGGATAAAAAAGTAGCCACTATACCCATCGGTATGAGAACACAGACACAGCTTCTGTCCAAAGTGTGTTATGGCTGTCGGTAACAGAGTAAAGTATACCACTATACCCATCGGTATGAGGAGTCCACTGACTTACAGCTTCTGTCGCAAAGTGTGTTAGCTGGCTGTCGGTAACTAGGATAAACTAGCCTACCCACATCGGTGAGTACTGCCACAGCCTGTCGCAAAAGTGTGTTATGGCTGTCGGTAACGGGATAAAGGTAGCCACTATACCCATCGGTATGAGGTATTGACACAGCTTCTGTCGCAAAATTGTGTTATGGCCGTCTGTAACGGGATAAAAAAAGTAGCCACTATACCCATCGGTATGAGGTACTACTGAGCTTCTGTCGCAAAAGTGTGTTATGGCTGTCGGTAACGGGATAAAGAGTAGCACTATACCCATACGTATGAAGACCTTCATCGCAAAGTGTGTATAGCTGTAGTAACAGCTTCTGTCGCAAAGCTCCGCAAAGTGTTTATGCCCGTCAGTAACAGGATAAAAGGCTAGCCCACTATACCCATCGGTGCGGTACTGACACAGCTTCTGTCGCAAAGTGTGTTATGGCCGTCTGTAACAGGATAAAAGAGTAGCCACTACCCATCGGTATGAGGAACTGACACAACTTCTGTCGTAAAGTGTGTTATGGCTGTGGCACGGGATAAAAGAGTAGCCACTATACCCATCGGTATGAGGTACCGAACGCCAGCTTCTGTCATAAAAAGTGTGTTATGGCCCGTCTTAACGGGATAAAGAGTAACCCTATACCCATCGGTATGAGGAACTGACACACTTCTGTCATAAAGTGTGTTATGGCTATCGGTAACGGATAAAGAGTAGCCACTATACCCATCGGTATGAGTACTGACACAGCTTCTGTCGCAAAAGTGTGTTATGGCCGTCTGCAACGGGACAAAGTAGCCACTATACCCATCGGTAAGGAGGTACTGACACAGCTTCGTCGCAAAGTGTGTGGCGGCTGTCGGTAACGGGAGAGTAGCCACTATACCCATCGGTATGAGGTACCGGCAGCTTCTGTCGCAAAGTGTGCAGGCTGTCTGTTAACGGATAAAGAGAGCCACTATACCCATCGGTATGAGGTACTGACACAGCTTCTGTCTTAAAGTGTGTTATGGCCGTCTCGTAACGGGATAAAGAGGTAGCCCACTATACCCCATCGGTATGAGGTACTGACACAGCTTCTGTCGTAAAGTGTGTTATGGCCGTCTGTAACAGGATAAAGAGTAGCCACTATACCCCATCGGTATGAGGTACTGACACAACTATGTGCAAAGTGTGTTATGGCTGTGGTAACGGGATAAAAAAAGTAGCCACTATACCCATCGGTATGGCGAACCGACACAGCCTGTCCAAAAGTGTGTTATGGCTGTCGGTAACGGGATAAAGAGTATACCATACCCATCGGTATGAGGTACTGACACAGCTTCTGTCGCAAAGTGTGTTATGGCCGTCGGTAACGGGATAAAAGAGCAGCCACTACCCCATCGGTATGAGGAACTGCACAGCCTTCTGTCGCAAAAGTGTGTTTATGGCTGTCATTAACAGGATAAAAAGAGTAGCCCTATACCACCCATCGGTATGAGGTACTGACACAGCTTCTGTCGCAAAGTGTGTTTATGGCCGTCTGTAACGGGATAAAGAGTAGCCACTATACCCATCGGTGAGGAACGACACAGCTTCTGCCCAGTAATAGGCGGCTGTCGGCAACGGGATAAAGAGTAGCCACTATACCCATCGGGTGAGGAACTGGCACAGCTTCTGTCGCAATCGCGCGTGTTATGGCTGTCGGTAACAGGACAAGAGCAGCCACTGCACCCATCGGTATGAGGTACTGACACAGCTTCTGTCGCAAAAGCGTGTTATGGTTGTCTTTCTTAACGGGATAAAAGTATACACTATACCCATCCGGTATGAGGAACCGACACATTCTGTCGCAAAGTGTGTTATGGCTGTCGGTAACGGATAAGAGTAGCCACTATACCCATCGGTATGAGGTACTGACACAGCTTCTGTCGCAGCAATGCGGCTGTCGGTAACGGATAAGAGCAGCCACTATACCCATCGGTGTGAGGAGGTACCGACACACTTCTGTCATAAAGTGTTTATGGCTGTCGTAACGGGATAAAAGAGTAGCCACTATACCCATCGAGGTATGAGGAACTGACACAGCTTTTTGTCGCAAAGTGTGTTATGGCTGTCAGTAACAGGATAAAGAGTAGCCACTATACCCATCGGTATGAGGTACTTCAGCCCCACAGCTTCTGTCATAAAGTGTGTGCATGGCTGTCGGTAACAGGATGAAGTATACCCATCAGTATGAAGACAACACAGCTTCAATCATAGTGTGTTGGCCCTCTGTAACAGGATAAGAGTAGCCACTATACCATCAGTATGAAGGTACTGACACAGCTTCTGTCGCAAAAGTGTGTTATGGCCGTCTACATGGGATAAAAGAGTAGCCACTACCCCATCGGTATGAGGTACACAACACAGCTTCTGTCGCAAAAGTGAGTTATGGCCGTCTGTAACGGGATAAAGAGTAGCCACTATACCCATCGGTATGAGGGTACTGACACAGCTTCTGTCGCAAAGTGTTTTAGCTGTCGGTAACAGGATAAAAATACACTACCCATCGGTATGAGGAACTGACACAGCTTCGTCGCAAAAGTGTGTTATGGCTGTCAGTAACAGGATAAAAAGTAGCCACTATACCCATCGGTATGAGGTACTGACACAGCTTCTGTATATAAGTGTGTTATGGCTGTCTGTAACAGGATAAGAGTAGCCACTATACCCCATCAGTATGA